AAGAGAGAGAAATTAAACTTAGCCCCTGAAGTATTGCTTCATTGTCAATCAAGTCCAGAAAATTTTATTTTATCGATCCCATCTCGAATTGACAGCAGACGATATCACTTTTCCATCCACCAATAGCTACTGATAGTTTTGAGACTCTATCCAACTTACATATACTAGTTAAGAGCTCCCATCATATGTGTCAAAAATAAACCACGATATTTCGTGATATGATAATTTGAATGCCAGGTCATGGTAAATCTTTCTCCACTGTTCTTTTTATATAATTTAGTAATTAAAGGAAATTTATTATGATTTGATGCTGAAATTGCCTATTAAAAAGAAATGATAAAATCAAGAATTTTGAGTCTCAGTAGATAATGGGGTAACAATAGGGACTGAATTGAGCTTTTTAAAAACAAATGACTGCAGAAATGTCATGTTACTCAAAATTAGATAGGGTATACTAGAAAATAAACGGTTATTTTTTAAAGTGTTTTTTATTTTAAAATATTTTTAAAAAAAAATTTAAAATTTTTTAAAAAATTATTTTTAACATCACTCCATTAAAATGATATAAAAATAAAAAATAATATTAATTTTAAAAAAATAAAAAATTTAATTTTTTTAAAAAACATTTCTGAAACACAATCTCAAATGCTTACTAAGTTAATATATATTGCTAAAGAGTGCAAAATATATTTTTAATATTATTTTTTATTTAAAAATATTAAATTAAATAAAAAATAGTATAAAAAACTTTAAAAATGTAGATTCAACCACAAAATAGACTCCATTTGAAATTAAGATGATGCTTATTTTAAAGTTTAACTATATTTTTTAAAAAATAATTTTTTATATTATGATGCTTATTTTAAAGTCTAACTATATTTTTTTAAAAAATAATTTTTTATATTAATAACTTTTAAATATTTTTGTATTATTTTGATGTCAAGAATAAATTTTATAAAAATAAAAACATATTATTTTAACATATATTTCCAAACTAAAAATATTTTAAAAAAACAACTTTTATCATAACATTTGTCTAGGTGTTCCATTTCAACCTCTATTGTTCAAAATTTTCAATTACATTACATGGTGACGTGTCACAACGGAGTGAAAGGAATCATCAAGCAAATTAGAAAAGCCTCTAGGAGAAGGGGTTGGAGAAGCACGTGCTTGAATCATAATGGGAGCCGTCGTGGTGAAAAATCTGCACGGAGAGGATTGAGGTGATGGGAGGACACACCGTTGTCGTGGATGTCGTCCACAAAACCTGGAGAATCAAGAGGAGCGTGGCAGAAAGGTCATCCACTAGGCAATCACTAGAGCAACTCAGTGATTTTAATGTCTACGATTCTCTGATTGTGACTCGAAATAATTAATAAGCTTGCCGGAGAGACTAAAAATATATGCAATGGAAAATTGCTTTTATAAATTATAATTTCATTTGAGAGTTTTATTTGCATGAAAAATTTGGTGACAAAAAAGTTTGAATTTATATCCTTCTGATGCAGATTATATAAATCATGAACAAAAGTATAATCAAGTAATTCAATATAATTGTTAGTTAAATAAAATTTGTGGACCTTCTGATGGTATGGAAATTCTTGTACATCGTGAGAGTGAGATTTGAGCCGTCATTTCATTAAAATTGAGTTGGTTTGTAGAAAAGTGAATTTTGATAAAGATAATATTTTTACAGAAAAAATATTAATTTTTCATATTTAATTATGTTGTAAAAAATTAGGACAAAAATGATTTCAAAAAAAAATAAAGGAAAATCAATGGGCATGCCTTCAAAAATAGAGTTCCTGTGTCTCCTAAAAAACTCATGATGACCAATTTTTAGTGAAAAATTCTCAAGTTCTATAACACTGTTAGAAAACCACGAACTACCACGCTATAAAAATATATAATTACTTAGAAATTTTTTAAGCATAGACTCATCATTCAATGAGTTTTTTCTAGCCACCAAGAATTTTTTTAAAAGCAGATTTTACATTCAATGAGTTTAAATATCAAAGTTTCTTCAAAATAAGTTGAGTTCCTCCAATAAATTCCCCTCGGCCACCTATAAATATTGTTAAGAACAAGCTCTTTCCACTTGTATTTATTTTACTTTTCTTTAAAATTTTCAAAATTCGGGTTCCTTCATGCCCTTTATATAATTAGAATTTTTTTTTATTTTAACTTTGATGCATGCCCTATATACAGGCTCTTTGATATATTATTCGAGGTATCCATCTTTTTTCTCACATGAAGAAATTTCAATGAACTTATCATCATAGTTAAATATTTTTATAAGTTTTTATATATTAATATCACAAACTTTAAAATTACTGATAAATCCAAATTTAACAAGTCTAAAAAACTCTAAGAATTAAATTATCCTTTATTGGATTGAGTCAAGAAACAAACCATTATTTTTTGGGCTTTTCTAAAGAACGGACCCAACCTTGTCCTTATTAGAGCATGCTTTGTGGAATGATCATACTGATAAATCATCCTCTTTTAGGCTCCCTGGGAGGGACTCAACCTTCTCTAGATACACCCCAGAAAATGAGCTCCCTTCGACACGTCCAGGGGAATAACGTCCAATATGCAGACACGTTGAACTTCTTAAAGTCCCAGCTATGGAATTTTGGCAGCCCCCCTGGATTGCGAACGCTGCTGGTGGTGGCTGATTCTTCAGGTGTTGTGTTTGAGAGGAGGCAGTTTTTGGTTTTAATTTCCATTGGAGCAGGTAAGAAGGCACGTAGCTGAGGCCACATAGATCGGATACCATATGAGGATGTAGTGCCCCAATCAACCCTTTTCTTGGCTGGCAAACAAGACGCAGAGTAGTCGTGACTCTGTGATCAGCGAGATGGATGGTTTGTTGTGGTGGCGACGCATGTGTTTGTTTCTTGTCGCTGCCTGTTATGTCAAGAGAGGAGAGAATATTCTGGAGACGAAGGAGGGGGAATTGGCTGATGGGGTCCGGCGGCATTGTTGAGAACTCAAGAGAGCAAGAGAGAGGCTCCCTGCTCTCCACGTCCATGAAATTAATTGCACACACTGAATTGGAATTCTGTAATTTTTCAAGAGACGATGCGTTGTCTATGTAACATTTCGTTCACTTTGACAATAATCGCTATCCCACGAAAAAAGATAATAAGTTTTTTTAACATTAGCGATTGGGTTTTTTTTTATTTGTCTTTTATATAATATATTTTTTTGTGAATTTTCAATATAATCAGCCTCGTATTAAGTTTTTTTTTTATTATTTTCTTGCTGGATTTAGTTTGATAAAAAATTTAAACGGAATTTTTTAAAATTTTTCAATATTATATCAATTAAAAATTAAATTTTTTAAGTTATTTCCTTGAAAATTAAGGGTTTTTTATATTGGATTTCATAATTTTCTCTAATTATTTATTTATTTATTTATTTTAATTTCATCACTTGGATCACGGGTTTGATAATTTTGTTTGGGTTGATTCTATTTGTTTTTGAACTCCTATTAAATTTAATATTTTTTCATTCAATATTAGATTGTTTTAAAATTAAATTGTATAATATTTCTCAATTTGCTTTATATTCAGTTATTTTATTTATATGATTTAGATCACAAAGTTTGGTTTGCTAGGTAATTTTTGGTCATTTTTTTTAATTTGACTATTTTTTCAATTTATTATTTGATACTGAATTGGTTTTGGATTCAAACTCTACTTTGTATATTTATTTTTTTCTTTTTATCTACTCATCTTGATTTTTTGAACTAACTTGCATATTTGTTAGACTCTGTTATGTTGATTAAAGTTAATTTTGTTTTTTTTATTTTTTTATTTTTTTATTTTTATATTTGACTGTTTGTGATTTTAATTTTATTATTTTTTAAAATAATTTTTTTTTTTTGCAAGTTCTCATGTTTTTTTTTTAAAAATTAAAATTGGTTTATATATCACTATTTTTTTATCAGTCAGGTCTAGCCATATTTTTTAAAAAACTTTTTTACATCATGTTTGCATTACAAATCCATGAAAAATGTTTTGGCATAATGATAGCGGACAAATCTAGTTAAGGACTAAAATGATGAAGATTTTAGATGGTTTTAATGTACATTTGATATCATGAAAGCTTTTGTGTTTTTATCTAAAAACTAGGTTTTAAAAAATATTTCTAGTTATAATTTAGAAAAAATAGATTTAAAAAAATACATGTTTAATCAAAACTACTATAAGATAGATTTTTATATATAAAACAAATGAAAAATAAATCTTTATAAATAAAAATATATTATTTTAACTTTTACAAAATATTTTTAAGAATTGAAAAGGAAAACAAAAGCTTATTGTTTTTATAGCCTATGCTATTTTTAAAATTCTACTTTTAAAATTTTTAGATTTTTTTAACTTACTAATATTGAAAATATTTTTTAATATGTATACATATATATATATATATATATATATGATTTTAATATATTTATTAATGTTACATGCATGTCAATAATTACCTAACCATAGCATCAAACAGTTTCTTAATATCTAACAAATCTAGTTAAAAACTAAAATGATTTAGATTTTAGGTGGTTTTAGTATGTGTTCTATATTGTGAAAGCTTTTGTGGTTTTATCTAAAAACCAGGTTTAAAAAATTATTTTTAATTAAAATTTTTAAAAAATAGGTTTTAAAAAATATATGTTTGATTAAAAATACTATAAGATAGGTTTTTTAATATAAAAAAATGAAAAATAAATCTTTATAAATAAAATATATTATTTTATCTTTTACAAAATATTTTTAAGATTTGAAAAAAAAGCTATTTACCAAGGGGCTCTTTTTTTATAACCCATGCTCTTTTTAAAATTCTATTTTCTTTTTAATTTGTAAATTGTTTTAACTTATTAATATTAAAAATAATTCTGTAAAAATAATATATATATATATATATATATATAATTTTAATATATTTATAAGTGTTACATGTCAAATTGTCAATCGCTACCTAACCATAGTTACCATAGTATCAAACGGTCTCTTGGTACCCGACAAAATTCCATGTGAAAAGTGAAAACCACCGTCCAGTGTCTGTGTCAAGCAGAAAGAATAGTGAAGTGGTGGCAAATTCACTGATCCAAAATAAGCACAAAGAACCCTAACCCCCAAAATTCTTAATCAATGGAACCCGACGACGAGATTTACGCCAACGGCGGAGCTGATGTTTCCAACAACCGAAACAGACCAATCATTAGTAGCGAACAACTCGACATCGAAGCGTACGCCGGACTGTACACAGGGAGAACAAAAATAACGCGATTGCTGTTTATCGCGGACCGGTTTGGTCAGAATAATAACACGGCGATGAAGATGGAAGCGCTACGAATGGCATATGAAGAAATCAAGAAAGGAGAGAACACGCAATTGTTTAGAGATGTAGTGCATAAGATTGATGGGAGGTTGGGGGATAATTATGGGATGGATAGTGCTTGGTGTGAGATGGTGGATAGAAGAGCCGATCAGAGGAAAGAGAAGCTTGAGAATGAACTTAATGCTTATAGGGTAAAAGCATTTTTTTTATTTTTTATTTTATTTTGGGTTTCAGTGATTATTATTATCTTGGTTGCTTTCGGAATTCATTTTATGTTTGCACTTATACTATAATGCTAGTATTAATAACTGTTTTAGGGGAAAATAATTGTAAAAACGTGGTGTTTGTTGTGGGTTTGTTTCAGTGATGATTATTTTGTTAATTTAATGTTACTAAGACAGGCGGTGTCTGTTTTGCTATAACAGTAGTCTTAATCCTAAGTTTTTTTCTTAGGGGGGGATTAACTGGAAAACAGGTTCGTTTTAGTTTCTATCCTAGAGCCCCCCCAAAACAATTCAGGTGGAAACTTACATTCGGTTTTGTTGGCTTGCTACAGCTTTGTGGACATGTATTTGCTATAAAAGAAGATCAGTGGTTATATATCTGTCACACTTTTATAGTTTTCCTACCTGTGATGACTATTGAGACTATGATGTAGGGATAATCTGTGGAGTAAATTTTTCACTTTTGTTTATAATTATCACCGTGTATGGTGGTGTGATTTACATATCTTTTTTTTATATATATATTTTGTGCAGACAAACCTGATCAAAGAAAGCATAAGAATGGGATATAATGATTTTGGAGATTACTACTATGCTCATGGTTACCTTGCAGATGCTTTTAAAAGTTATGCCCGAACTCGTGATTATTGCACTACATCAAAGCATGTTATTCATACGTGCATGAGTGCAATTCTTGTAAGCATTGAAATGGGCCAATTTACTCATGTCACAAGCTATGTCAGCAAAGCAGAACAAACAGCAGAAGCTCTTGAACCTCCTACAGTCTCAAAACTACGTTGTGCTGCTGGATTGGCTCATTTGGAGGCTAAAAAATACAAACTCGCTGCTCGTAAGGTTTGCTTTACTTGTGTACCTCCAATGAATTCAGTTCAGTATGAATATTGTCATTATTTTTTTTTCTTTTAACCCGGGTAGCATCTTAAACCCAGAATTTGCAGCATTATAATCGCATAGGATGCAGTTAAGATAGGTTGAAAGTTTTGTTACAGAATTGGACAAGACAGTTGATATTTGCTTGCTCTGTGTATTTTCACTATCTTCATTACAGTTTGTTTTCAAATGCTTTGGTTACGTCGTGTGAGTTGTACTTTTTCCTGGCTGTAAACAAACTCGCAGCTGCCACATTTGCTTTTTTAAGTATCTTTTGGGATTATTAAGTTTTAAGTTAGGACTTTAAGAATCTTTTGTATTCCTGTTATTAATTGGATATTGCCATTTGTTTCTGATTTTGATCTTGAATGGTCTTTGAATTCTAAGTAGGCATTGGTGCATTTTTGTTTAACTGCTTAAAACTTGAAGTTGAAGGGTGAGTGTTGTTTTACTGAAATTCAGCCACTCATTTATTTTGAAGAACATAGCACCTTCTATTGTGCTTATCTCCAATATTTTCTTATCTTGGATGGGCTGTATTCTGAGCATTTAGAGGCAACTTTATATTCTTACTTTGCGTATGTTATCTTTCTATGGGTACAGTTCCTGGAAGTAAGTCCTGAATTGGGAAATTCATACAATGAAGTTATTGCTCCTCAAGATGTTGCAACTTATGGAGGACTTTGTGCTCTTGCAAGTTTTGATCGGATGGAGCTGAAGGTGTTCCTTCTTCTTCATCACCTTCTTCTCCTTCTCCACTCCCTCGTTCTTATTGTTAATCTTGTTTTTCACTGGCTTTTCAATGAACTTCAGAGGATAGTTTCTAATCAATGCTTTTGTTTGGCAGAGCAAAGTCATAGACAATCCCAACTTCCGTAATTTCTTGGAGTTGGTACCTGAAGTTAGAGAGCTTATTCATGATTTCTACTCAAGGTAACTTGTTATGATGGTACACGATTTGATTTGCATTTTTAATGCTTTGACTTTTGATGATATATTCTTGCAAGGTGGCAGTTAGCCATTGTGCTCTATATTGTAAATCCAAGAAATTTTGTGTTGGTACTTGGTATATAGATGGGAGGAGATTCAGGATCTTTTATTTTAACAAAGTCTTGGATTTTATTTTGAGAAGATGGTTCTTTAATGCTGGGAAGATTGCCTATACTTGCTCAATTTTTCCAAGAGCTTGTCACCAGTAATAGATTTATTATATCTGGGTAATCTATTATATATGGGTTCAATAGAAGCAAATTATCCTCATAAACTCTTTTTTTTCTTCTAGAACTGTCTTTTTTCTACCAAAGAAGAAAAAACAATACTTGGAAAAAGAAGGAAAATAAGGTTCCTTCTCCTTTAATCTTGCTTGTGTCAAACTATCGAAATGTACAAGGCTGCTTGGAGAGTTTGCATTATAATGTCAACAATCTCATATTTAACTCGAATCAGTAGCCTGAGAGATTAGTTGTCTTCATATTTTGGTCTCCTTTTCCATTTGCTTGCCATCAGCTGAGCTTTTATTCATGTTTGTCAATATATGACTGTTTAACTCTAATTTACATCCTAGAGTTTAGTTGAGTGTTCTATTTTCCTTTTCTTTTTCGACTACTTTTCTCACAAGCTTGCCAACAGTTATATCCATGCTGTTGGACATGAAGCCTGTTTTGTAAACAAAAATTTCTTATTTTCTCTGTTTCCTTTGCAGCCATTATGCTTCGTGTCTGGATTACCTGGGAAATCTTAAAGCAAACCTAATGCTTGACATCCATTTGCATGACCATGTCCAGACACTGTATGATCAAATCCGCAACAAAGCTCTCATTCAGTATACACACCCATTCGTGTCTGTTGATCTGCATATGATGGCCAATGCTTTCAAAACAACTGTTGCGGGCTTGGGGAAAGAACTTGAAGCCTTGATTGCTGACAATCAAATACAGGTTTGGCTTGCAATTTGCATTGCTAATTTTTTGTTCTTTTATCCAGCTTAAATAGTTTGTCCCAGATGTCTAGGTTTAGGAAATATCCCATGACTGGAATTCCCTCCCATTCAGAATGGGGTTTTGACTTGGTCTCCTTCCAAAAATTTTCAGTATATCCATTGGTTGTTTTCATGTCACACAGCAAAACCTTTCCACCCTTTTAACAACTTATCTCCATACCTTACTGATAAAAATATCATGGCTTTGCAGGCACGAATTGACTCGCACGACAAAATTCTATATGCACGTCATGCAGATCAAAGGAATGTGACTTTCCAGCGGGTTCTGCAGACAGGCAATGAGTTTGATAGGGATGTTCGAGCAATGCTGCTGAGGGCAAATCTTATCAAGCATGAATACAAGGCTTCTAGGAAACTTTAAATGAATTCCCAGTTCAACAAGGACAGTGGGAACCGTGGCCAACATTGTCTTGATTAGTTTCTGGGATTCCTTGTATTCGTGGTTTCCTTGGCGGAAAATCTTATCCCACATAGGTCTCCTGGTGCAGTGAATCTGAGCCTTACATCTTCAAAAAAATTGGTTTCCGTGGCGGAAAATAGCATTTTTGGGGGATGGCAAGATTCGAATTGACCTGGCCAATTTCTGGCTGTTTCTTTCTTTCTTTGTATATACTTGGATTTATTTAAGAAGTTGCAGTTACAAATTTTTTGTTTCACCCTCTTCTTCCATGGCCCTTTGGCCATGGTTTTTCGTTTTGCTCTACATCATACAAGACTGCATATGGAACATTTGAATTGAATATAGGAAATCAAATTTGAGATTTGTGTACGGTGATAAGTGGATGCATAGTAAAATAATGTGATCTTAATTGCATAGCCGGCATGGAAACAGCATGCTTGGCCCTCCAATGCAATGAGTTCGACATGGGCAGCTACAAACCTTTGAATGAGTTGGTTCTGGTTGTATCTTTATTGAACAGAAATCTTCCAGCGTTCGCGATGACCTGATGTAGTTGTCACCGCAACAATAGTAATAGTATCCACTGTCACGTTTCTCTAGCATCTTCAATGAATGTAAGCACATCTCTAGAATCCGAGTGAGGTGGTCCTAATCATATGTTTGCGTAATATAATTTTATTTTAGTTTTTTCTAGTTAGAATTAGTTTTATTTTTATATTTGAAAGGAATGACGTTTTTCATTTAATATTAATAAGGTTTTTTAGTTTTTCTATATAAATAGTTATAATAGCTTTTAGCAAGTAACGATTTCGATAAATAAAAATTAAATACATGAATACCTTGAATGTCTCCGTAATCATGATATTTTTAGTCTTGTAACAAATTCTAAAAGGTGAGCGGAGTTGTGTTCAGGGATTAATTTGCAAGTAGGACGCAGCAACCAAGGATAAAGTTAGGATTCAAAGATAAGGGGGCAAATAACACGTTTCAAGAAATATAGAGGACAATTAAAACTACTGAGGTTAAAGCCCTGTCAGTCCGGCACTTGGCGGCAGCAGCATGCATTGGCCCCTCCGATTATTATTTTTTTATTTTTTTAATGGGAGATGTGAATGAAATCCAAGAATTTTGACCCCGGTTTGCTTCAAGTTACATTATTAAAGCTGTCTTTGTTTACGCGTATTTTTTTTTAAAATAATTTGTTTTATTTAAAATTTATTTTTGAAATTTTAAATTATTTTAGTGTGCTAGTATTAAAAATAAATTTAGAAAATAAAAATATATATTATTTTAATATATTTGTAGATAAAAATAATTTAAAAAATAATCTCCTATTTAAAACTTACAATTATTTATTTTTGTAGATGCATGTTGACCTCGTTGGGAAGAGAAACAATTCGTTTGCTTTGACCCTTGTTTTACGATGCTTAAGTGTAGTAATTAATTGATGTAGATCCTTTGCTTGATACGGTGACAGAAGGCTATTTAAAAGTTTGTTTTTAATTTAGAATAATACTAGTTTTTTTCTTTTTTTCCCACAATGACGTGGGGTTGTGTTGGAACCTGGTTTTATTTAATTTTGCAGTAATTAAAAATAATTACCCAACTTTTAAGTTTAATTATTTTTATTTTATTTTGCCTCTATCCTTTTAAAGTTTAATTGCATAAAATCAACACAAAATTTGAAAAATATTGTAATTTAAGAGAAACCCATTTGAGATTGGACCCAGTTGAAGAAATCCAACAAGCATCTAGTATCATTGCCTGTTTGGTAATAGACGAGTGGACAACAACTCGGCTCAGTTTATTTAATATTAAAGGTAATAAAGATTCTCAGTTTTTGTAGTTATCATGGGGTTTGGTAGAGTTATGGGAGAGACCGGTGGCTTTTGTAGTAGTGGCGGCGGCCTTGATGGCTAGGCGGACTTCGAAGGTGCCCGATAGAGAAAGAAAAACGAGGAGAGGCGGTGGCTGGGATGGGAGAGAAAGCGGTTGGAGGGAGGAGATGACAATTTTGAGATCTTATAATTTCAACATTCGATGGTTATTTAATTATTAATTAAAATACAGTAACAATTATGTAAATTATTTAAATTATTTTGTTGGTTTTTTTATAAGAATGTAAAGTGATACAAACTTTAAAAATTACCTTGAACTTGACCTTATATGTAAATTGTAATTTAAAAAAAATTAAAATAAAGTAAAAAATAATTAGATTATAAAATAATCAAAATATTTAAAAAAAATAAATGTTTGTTACAATTTCAATGATTTATATCCTCTAGTAACAGATATATTTTATAGTCAAAGTGTCATTCTTTTATTTATGGGTTTCTTTTTTTTTCTCCTTTAGACAAAAACATATTTATGTTAGAAATAAAGTTTTTTTTCCTCTTTCAACTATTTTTCTATAAATAAATTTATTGATACAACGATGATTTTTTTTTTTTTTTGTAACGAGCTCAAATGAACCCCTTATCTCCCCTTTCATATGAATTTTTCTTTTGCTTTTCAATATCTAGGAACGACAACAATAAAAAATAAAGTGTAGGATTAAAGCTTAAAATCTTAAAACAACATTAAATAAATATGCATCAATTGAAATTTAACAAACCAAAAATAATTTTTTTTACACCTCTTAAATAGCAAAAATAACAAAACTAACTTATTTTTTATGATTGGGAACTCAAGGTCCGGGTCTAGGAATCTAAACATTGAATTCTCGACATGTTTTCACCTAGCAACATGTAAAGAAAATTCTAAAAAATTCAACAAACTTTAAAAACATATCAGGAACATCCAGGAAACTTCAATGAATCCATTTTTAACTATAAAACACCGTCTAACCAATTTTAAAATCAAATTGGATTGAAAAACAATTTCAAGGCCTCAATCTATTTTTTCTAGTTTCTTTTAAGAAAAAAACATTTTATTTTTAATTTTTTAATCAAAAATAAATTTATTTATGCTAAAAGATGATATTTTTTATATAATTAAAACGTGGTTAATCAAACTATTCTTTCTCTTTCCTTTTTTTTTACAACCTCCTCTTTTTTTTTCTGGTATTTAAAAAACAAAATATAAAGAAATAAAGTTTATGGATGAAATTTAAACAAAATTTTAAAACAACAATAACCAAATATAATTGAGTTTTCACAAACGAAAACGAAGTTTTCATGAGCAATGGAAATAATAAAGTCTGTGTTTTATATGTTTATTTTGGTATCTCAAGTTTGTTTTTAATCATAATATAAATTTTTATTTGTAACATTGATTTTTAACTTGACTCTAGAATATTTCCAGGCTCTCCACACGCGCAAGAGCATGCAAAGAAAGGCGGGTCTCAGCGTATAAAATGATAAAAGAAATGTACGAGGATAAAATAAAAAATAAACAAATATTGATGGCCAAAAACATTGTTCACGAATCATTGTTGTCCATTGTTTGTGTGGGAGGGTTTTGTTCGGTTTTATATTTTCAAAATATTTTAAAAAATTATTTTTTAATTTTTTCTTTATTTTTTCTTTTATTTTAATATTAAAAATTAAAAAAATATTATTTTAATATATAAAAAAACATTTTAAAAAACAAATACCAACACAGAAAAGTCGGTTCCCTTTTTTGCCTGTTGTCCGCAAGACACGTGTATAAATGGATCTACTCCATCCTATTACCGAGTTTCACAGCCAAGATATAAAAGGAAGTACGATGAAACCTCCTGTTAAATAATTAAAATTTGATGGAAATAAAAAAAAAAAACTGCCGCGTACTGTTGTCCGAAAGACACGTGTATAAATGGATCTACTCCATCCTATTACCGAGTTTCACAGCCAAGATATAAAAGGAAGTACGATGAAACCTCCTGTTAAATAATTAAAATTTGATGGAAATAAAAAAAAAAAGAAAAAGATTTAGCACTGCTAAAAAAATTATGAACAATTTTATTTAAAACCTGGAAAAGAAGTAAATTTTACGTGTCAAGGATTGCACGAAGAATATGTACACCCAAGAATGCATGATAATTTATATAAGATATTTGTTTTTAATAATTGAATGTATACTTGAATAAAATCCTAATTTATAACTCAATATCATTATTGATCATGAAAAATAAAATATTTCACTCGAATTAATTAACGCGTGTAACAAGATGTTAACCAGATCCCTCACCGTCACGTGAACATAGTCTCCCTCCTCCTCTCAATCACTCACTCACCGCCATCGATCAGCTCCCATCGATCATCCAAGAAAACCAGAGCAAATCAACCCCCCTCCTCCTCGGCTCCACAAAGCCACAAAGAAAGAATCATATAATCAGATCTAAGAAATAAAAAAATGGGACACCTAAATCTGCCCGCGTCGAAACGAAACCCACGCCAATGGAAACTACTTGATTTAGTAACGGCAACATTCTTCGGTTTAGTCTTCCTTTTTTTCCTTCTGGTCTTCACTCCACTCGGCGACTCTCTTGCCGCTTCAGGCCGCCAAACACTCCTCCGCTCCACCTCTGATCCACGCCAACGCCACCGTCTTGTCGCTTTGATTGAGGCGGGACATAATGCTCAGCCGATTGAAGCTTGTCCCGCGGACGAAGTAGATCACATGCCTTGTGAAGATCCTAGAAGGAATAGTCAGTTAAGTAGAGAAATGAACTTTTATAGAGAACGTCATTGTCCTCCCGTTGAGGATACTCATCTTTGCTTGATCCCGCCACCTGACGGTTATAAGATTTCTGTTCAATGGCCTCAGAGTTTGCATAAGGTATGCACTTTTGCTGAATTTCTTGTATTTTTAATTAGAAATAGTTTATTTATGTGTTTTTAATAGTCATAGTTGTGGTAGTAATAGGGTTATTTTCTTACTGATCTTGTTAGTTTAATTAGTTTATTTACACTCTTTTTTTTGGGTAATTTGTATTGATATACATTGATGTCCGCGGTCTTTTTGTGTTTTGATGTCAAGATATGGCATGCGAATATGCCGCATGATAAAATTGCTGATAGGAAAGGTCATCAAGGATGGATGAAAAAGGAAGGAGAGCACTTCATTTTCCCCGGCGGTGGAACAATGTTTCCAGAGGGTGCTGTACAGTATATTGAGAAGCTTGGGCAATATATCCCTATCAAAGGCGGGGTTTTGAGGACTGCTCTCGATATGGGATGTGGGGTAGGGAATAATTTTTTGTTTTTGTGATTTTTAGTTTGTAAATTTTTTGTATACTGGAGGTTTCTTATGACATGATTGTGTTCTAGGTTGCTAGTTGGGGAGGATATTTGCTGAAGGAAGGGATTTTGACTCTCTCATTTGCTCCAAGAGATTCACACAAAGCACAGATACAGTTTGCACTGGAGAGAGGGGTTCCAGCATTTGTTGCCATGCTTGGCACTCGAAGACTCCCGTATCCTGCATTTTCATTTGACTTGGTGCATTGCTCCCGATGCTTGATCCCTTTTACAGCTTATAGTAAGTTCTTTATGACTTGTATCCTTCTAGTATGTTTTCATATTCCTCGGATACAACCTGCCAGTAGATCTTACATTGAAGGGATCTGGTTTTGCAGATGCATCTTATTTTATCGAAGTAAATCGGTTACTTCGTCCTGGAGGATATCTTGTCATTTCTGGACCTCCTGTGCAGTGGGCTAAACAAGACAAGGAATGGGCTGATCTCCAGGCTGTGGCAAGAGCATTGTGCTATGAGCTGATTGCTGTGGATGGAAACACCGTCATATGGAAAAAACCCGCTGGAGATTTATGCCTGTCCAACCAAAATGAATATGGTCTTGAATTGTGCGATGAATCAGATGACCCAAGTGATGCATGGTAATTGTCTAAAAATAAATCTTCAGTTCCTAAAAGTGTTTTTCTAGTGTTTTTGCAGCAACTCGGATGATGGCAACACTGCTGTTGTTCTTTTCTTTCAACCATCTTGCAACTAATGCACTTGGTTTAGGACTTTAGTTGCAAATTTGATAAATTTGCCTTTAGTTTGCAACTGATCAATTGAGCTTTCTGCTCAAGATAATATTCATTTATTTGCATGGGAACACCATAAATTCTGATGCTAAGTTCAATTATGTTGCAGGTACTTCAAGTTAAAGAAATGTGTGAGTAGGACTTCTGCTGTGAAGGGGGATTGTGCCATTGGGACTATTCCTAAGTGGCCTGATAGGCTAATGAAAGCACCTTCCAGGGCTGTGCACATGAAAAATGGGTTAGATTTGTTTGATGCTGACACACGGCGCTGGGTAAGGAGGGTTGCATACTATAAGAATTCTTTGAATGTGAAGCTAGGAACTCCAGCCATACGCAATGTCATGGACATGAATGCATTTTTTGGGAGTTTTGCAGCAGCACTCATGCCAGATCCTGTATGGGTGATGAATGTCGTTCCTGCTCGCAAGCCATCTACACTTGGTGTAATATATGACCGAGGCCTTATTGGAGTCTACCATGATTGGTGAGTTACTCACAACTCTGTAAGAAATTCATATATAGCATACTACTTATATTGGTCATGTTATTGATGATCTCGCCTTCATATTTAACTAAGTTGGTGGATATATTTGTTGCACATTCTTGAAGCCGTGTGCCTACTGTCAACAGAGTGGTGTTATGCAGTTAGACAGGAAAAAAGAGTCCTTTGTTGAACATGCTTCTCTGATCATCAATCCAAGATCCTAATCTCCAATCTATTTTTTGCTTGGTTATTGCTCTATTAATCTGTATTCAAATATACTAATGTTAGTAATTTATCCATGGCCAAAAGTTTGTTTTCTCTCTAAATGATAAATTGAGGACAAGATGGTGATGACTTGCCTCCTTTGGATACCATATATGTTAATGGAAATGGCCTTGGGTGGTATTAAACATGTCTCCTTCCTCTAATTGATATTAAGGACAAGATAATTGTGACTTGCTTTGCTTCCTTCTTTGGATATGATATCTGTTAATGGAAGTGAAACTTTGGTGGTATGAAATCAGATTTAGGGTTATCTATTCTGCTCAACCTTATTCCTTTTACTTGTGGTGTCAGGTGTGAACCTTTCTCAACATATCCCCGTTCCTATGATCTCATCCATGTAGCAGGCATTGAATCACTACTAAAAATGCCTGGTTCAAGCAAGAACAGGTACTTGTAATCTTCATTTGCAGTTGCCTTTTCATTTTCTCATTATTTTCCTGCATACATATGGTGTGAAATGATAACAAGATTTTTCTTTCTCATTTTCTGTTTTTATTAAATGGAAACGCATGCCTGTTTTTTGAATGTTGTGTGAGGTAATTTCAATCTGGTGAAATTTTTCCATGAACCCAGCTTTTTAAAAAATAAAAATTCTTTTTTTATTACTGCCAAAGAGGATTCTGCTCTGGCTTAACCAGCAAAATAGAGGCATGTGTTTTAGTTTAATCATTTTCATTATCCACTAAAGGATAAGTTGTGCAATGTGATGAATAAGACTTTTCTTTCTCAATGTGGAGAGGAAAGAAAGTTTAAACTTTTTATTTTATTTGCATGATTTGATGGAGGATTTAACTTGAAAAACTGTGATTGAAGAAAACCTTGAAGATTGCAGAGCTTTAGTGTTTTTGATGGGATTTAGGGTTAGGGATGGAAGTCTGAGAAATTAGGTTTATTAGGGATGTGTTTTTAGAATAATTAGGGTGTAGAAATAAAAAATGAATGGTAATCCAAATTACTATAGCAATAAGAAAAGAGGAGAAAACTTCAGAGCCTTCAAACTGAATGCATATTATTTATAATAAATTTCAACATCAAAACTATACAGAAAGTTACATTAAAATAATTTTCCAAGCAAACCGTAATTCCAGAATGGTATTAAGATTCCGAAGAAGACAAATTTCTTAATAGACTGGGGTCTCAATCTAAAACTATAAAGAAAATTACATTAAAATTATTTATTGATTTCTTTTTTCCTTGGCTGCTACGTGTTGAATAAGGCTGCTGTATCCAAATAACAGGGGGTTGGCATGTGGTTCATGAAGCTTTAAACTCTTAATCTCTCTGCACAGTGATAGTGATCATGATCTGCCACGCACAAGCCATGTCTGTTGATCTTTATTTTATCAATTGTAAATTTACAAACATAAATTACTGTAGTTCTGCCTACATGTTCATACCCTGATTAGTATTGGCTATCCCCCCCTATCAGGAATTAGTTAGTTTTTGCTTAAACTCTTAAGAATTTCCCTACACAATCATACCCATCAATCATGTGTTGGATGGAGAAGCTCCCTGCTCTTCTGTTCTTCTGTTTTTCCTTTTCTCAACTCTTTATGACCTTTCTAGTACACATAATGCTCCTATCTTGAATTTTTTTGTCATGAGAGGGGATAATTTCCTGGAATCTTCACTATTTAGTAACTTAAATGAGAGGACCAAGAGCTTGTTTTACTTCTTCAAATTCTCAACTCCTCTCTCTTATTCTCAAGGCAAGATTGGCTTGTTTGGACCTTAGAAAAACCAGGTACCTTCTCTTTCAAATCATCTCTTTCCCATCTTGCTTGATCTCCAGATATGAGTGTTTTCTTTCTCACCAATTGCAACTGGAAAGCTACTTATTGCAGGCAAGGAGGCCTTGTTTAGCTTTATTGCCTAATGTTTGTGTTATGTGCTTTAAAGTAGCAATACCCACAACTTTTTAGCTTCGTCCAGTGGCATGGAAATTTCTGAATAGGCTGTCCAGTGTTTTTGGTGAAAAATGGGTGGTGCCAAGCAGAATGAGGGATATCCGCACACATTTTCTTGGCTTTGAGAGAGGGAAGTATAGTAATATCTTTTGGCATGTGATATCTTTGCAGTGATTTGGAGTATTTTGAGCAGAATGGAACTTTTGAATCTTCTAGTTTACTACCTTTGCAAGCAGTTATTATGGGATAGAATTGCCTTCCTAGAATTGTTATGGTGCACTGCGGCCTGGGGATTTCTGTTGGTTCATTTCTCTTTTTTCTGTTTTTTTGTGGAGGATAATATTTTATCCTTCTTCATGTATCCTTATCTTCTTTCCTTCTTAAATCTTCTTTCATCAGGAAAAAAAAAGCCCCAAAAACCTATCTTCTCACCCACACACCCCCCCCCCCCCCCCCCCCCCCTCCCCCTCCCCCCCCCGTAACTTTCGCTGCCCTGCCCAACACATCCTGAGCACTAATTAAGATTTGCAACTGAGTTGAACACGACTCTTGGATTCCTCTACCTCTCCTCCTCGTTATTGCTTGTGACTCTTCCCCCCCCCCCCCCCCCCCCCCCCAACTCACTTCACTCTCCTCACTCCAGTACCTATAGGCTAAGCTTCTTGTGCATCGCTCTGCATTCTAGAAACAATGACAATCCACCAGCTTTCTCTTAAGCCTAAATGATCTGAGAACAATACAATAGTCAATCTGTCTGTAGTCACTTGATCATTGGCTTTATATCGAGAATTGTGCTCATTCTCTGAGGAAGTGTCAGAGCGTGTGTTCTCATTTGTACAAAATGACTAGGAGTAAGATGCAATATCAATGGTGTGGAAATCATGGTAAACGATGGAGAGGTAGTGCATTAAAGGGATAGTTATGGGGAAATGTTCCATGTTGAGCATGGGATGTTGATAAGGTGGTTCGCTAAGGTGAGAACCAGTGGAGCGCATGCGCATTGGGATCTTGTGATCTGTTTTACATTTTGGTTGTAGTTTCGACTTGTGGTTGTAAGGGCAAGTGATGGTGAATGTGAGAATGTGTTTTTTGATGGTTTACTTGGTACAGATTGCTTCTTCGTTTGCAACTTGAGGGACTTGCCATGGATTTTCATTGTTTGATATGTTCATTCCAAGTCTCTCTCGTTCTCTCTCTCTGATTTTCTTTTTATATATCAGTTCCAATTTTGTTTCTTTCGCTTTAGGGCTGAACTTGGTGAAGCAATGTACAGCAGCAAGGGGCAGTTTTTGCACAACATTGCATGCCAGCACCCGTCCAAGCTTTAAGGACTAGAATAATTTATTTGATAGACAGTTTCTTCTATTTGATTAGTTAAATCTTTCCTTGAACCCCGAAGCTTGCACTGTTTTTCAAAATAGCTGCCAGTTTGGTTTGCTTATGGTCATCTAGCACCTGCGCCTGTACGGGCACTGTATTTTCAATCTGGACTAAATATTTGATTTTCAAATGACCATTTATTTTATAGATAAAGTGAACATGTTCATCATCTCTGATTCACTGCAGGTGCAACCTTGTGGATTTAATGGTGGAGATGGACCGAATATTACGTCCAGAAGGAACAGTCATTATCCGAGATTCTCCTGAAGTTGTTGATAAAGTGGCTCGTGTAGCTCTTGCTGTAAGATGGTTGGTTACCATTCATGAGAAAGAGCCAGAATCGAGTGGAAGAGAAAAAATTCTGGTTGCTACAAAAAGCTTTTGGAAGCTGCATTGAGACATAACCTTTCTCTGTAATGTAATTTTCTTTTCCGTTCTCAATTCTGATATAACGCCAAGGCATACTCTGCATGCATCAAATGGATGCAGATTCCTTTCTTGCCCCTCTTCTGGCTATTTATATATCTAGCAGTGGTAGGAGGTACACAGAAGGAAGGACGTTCAGAATCATGTTAGGATAGGTATAGCGGCTACTGATATGTATTGTGATATGATTTGATTTGATTTATCGAATATGATTTTTTTGTCTTTCCACATCTCATTATTATTGTTTTCACCCGCGAATGTTGTTATCGTCAATGTTCGTTATCAGAAAACGAGGAAATTCAATGTATATAGTAACATCAGTGATGCTTCAAAGAGGAAATTCAATGTGTATAATAACATCAGTGATGCTTCAAAGAGTAAAGTGAATGTCTGTACCATGTGCTGTGGCTCTCTAACATTGCGAGTCTGCTAAGGAATGTATCAACATTTCAAATCTTCAAGCATATGTTGCCATCTTAACTAAGGACATGTCGGCATCCACCTGTTCTGTGTAAGGACGTTTTCCTGCCTGTTGGCCGGCGAGTCACCGCTGTATGAAGACAACAACCAACGTTTTCGTCTCTGATAATAATAATGTTTTTGGCCATCGCTTAAGAGGCATTGCCATGGTCTTGAGAAATCAGATGATGTAGTGCCTTCACCGCATTGCATTGAGGAAGGCAGCCCACGTGTAAGATAGACCTTGCTTTCCTCGTGCTGGCCAGAGCTGGAATTTCCATGCAGTTGTGTTTTGCGGAGAGGATATGGGCCATTAGATCACAGAAAGGTGATTGGCCATTTCAACCAGGCGGAGTCTGTCTCAGTAAATGCCACCATATCAGACAGAGCTATACAGTCTGAGGGAGAGGGTGGTTGGGGGTGTATCTTACTCCAGGCTCCAGCAATTGCAGCCTGAAGGTGGCCAAAGCAGTGCCGGTGGGGGCAATTAATGGATGTGGGTGGGCCTCTACAAGAGTTTCACGTGTACGCTCATACAGGAGCCTACCGCTTTGATTAGGGTGGCGACCCGGCAATGGATCGAGATTCAGTCGGGAAATTAAATTCAATGATTGTTTCAATAAAAAAACAAAGTAAATAGAAAAAAATACGAACGGATGTGTAAATCTCAGATTTGAACATGGTGACCAGTGGTAGTCGGTGTTGGATATTTTATTACACACGTGAATTCTCAAATCAAAATTGACCTTTGCAGTTTCAAATTCTTGGTCCTCGATTCAATTTACACAGTCCAATTCAATTATTTTTTTTTCATTTTTTCCAATGAACTGAAAAATTCTTCCATCCCTCAACTTGAATGAGTTGGAAACGTCGATCCAAATCCTTAAATATAGTTGGTGAGGGGCTTGGACTAGTTGACAGGTAGATGACATTTCGTCGCCCCATCTTAACTCCTTCCCATGTTCCCATCGCACGGGACATTGATGAGATGAAGAGGTTAAGCTGTCCCTACAATTCATGAATGATCATTTCAAACAGAGGGTTCTAGCTAACTATGGACTTTAAGCTTTGCCATGGCCATTATTTACATGTACGACTATACTATCTTCGCCAACTAGCATGTACAGGCTTCTTGTTTACAGACAAAAAAAAAGACAAAATCTGCTGTTATTCATTCTAAGAACATCAATTTGCAAGGAGTTTTCAGGTGATATTTAATCGATGAGAGATGCCTTGCTAGTGAATTTCACGAGTTCCTTTTTTCCTTCTATTATCTGAATTCTCTTTTCTTCGACGTGATAACATAAACAGAAACACCTCAACGATTTTTACGAAAATAAACACTTGGTTTCAGGTCATTGCAGCTATTCTCTGTGTGAAATCTATTTACAGCGAATAACATTATTTTTCAAATAAATAAGTGTATATATCCCGATATATACGGAGAAATTGAAGTTATAAATTGAGTTGAATATGCACGGTTTGATTAGAGAAGTAAGCGAGGTTGAAAGGGAGATAAGGAGGATTGAAATAGCTCCTGCTTACAGGACGTTCACTTTTGCTGGTCAATTTCCAATACAGAAAAGGAGAGGCGGCCAGCGGTCAAGCTTAAATGAAAACAGGAAAGGGAGGTAATGGGGCTTGGAAAAATGGCAAATGGGTGTTATCAATGCAACAGCAAACGCAAATGGTTGTGTGGGCCTGGTTTCTACCAGTTGGAAACTCTCTCACTACCTGGAATTATACATGAACAAGAAGATAAGAGTTTTAGAATTCAGAGCACAGTGAGAGTGAAAGGTCATGGGGGGTGTGGGCCTGTGGATGGGAACAGAGCCCCTTGCCCACCTCTACTGGTCTACTGCCCTTAGATTTACACAGGATCAAGAAAGAAAGAGTCCTCTGCTAACCTAGCTAGCTACTACAGAGCTAGGACACTCGGTTGGGAGTCGACTTTCGAGCCTTCGAAAAGGTCAAGTTTGTGACGAGTTTCAGTATATAGCCTGCTCCTTTGACTTTCATCATCACTTTTCTGGTGTTTTCTCAAATTCTGAGCCAAGCATTTTCCTTTTTGCAGCATCTAGGAAGGCTAGATATTTCATTTAGAATGCTTTGGACATATGGAGAAACGACAACTAAAAATGACCAATGGAGCATTGGCGTGATGAGAAATTTAAGCAAGTTTTTGGTATGCAATTAAATTGGTGTTTCATGGAACTTGTGTTTTCTATGTAAACATTTTGTATTATGTTTAATTTACTTGATAAGGTTCTATTTTAAAGAATATTGAAAATGAGGGCTTTATTGGATAACCGAAGCTTGAAATTAAGATTGAAATTTATTAAAATCATGGCACTGGACTCCAGACAATTTAGATTGCTTTTATTAAAATCATGACACTGGACTCCAGACAATTTAGATTGCTTTATAAATGATATTTTTTATTTTTAAAATATCATTTTAAAAAAATTTTAATTTCAAGATTTTTAAATTAAAATATGTTATGATAAAAATAATAATTATTATAGTTTTAAAATTAAATTTAAAGGTCAATCCGAGATAAAACTCGGGTCACTAGTCGCAATCCTGGTCATTGGTCCAGCTGACTCAAGTAAATATGAGAATAAAAATAATTTTTATAACAAATTTAAAATACGATTCAATGGTTGGTTGATCCGAGACAAGACCAAGTCACGAGTGGAGGTGATCATTGACTTGTGCTTTATCTCAAGTTGACTTGGTTTTTTGACTAAGTGAAGTCGAGTCGATTCTCCTTTTATTTTTTTAAATTTGGACTGATCCAGATCCAGGGTCAATTCATCAAGTAAGCCCTAGTTTTATAATTAAAGTTATTATAATATTATTAATTTTAACAATAAATATAAAATAAAAAAAATCTAATTATTTTTTAAAACATATAAATTTAATAACAATATATATTAAAATATATTAAAAGTAAAATAAAATTTTTATATTTTTAATGTTTTTTCCACCATGACCGAATACAATACATATTATCTTTTTTTTTTATCTTGAGACAGTAATCAAAGACAACCTAAGTGTTTTATTCAAGTATTAAGGATTTAAAAAATTAGCCAAAAACTTACAATTTCGTAGTCTTTGTTGGATAAACTGCAAAAATCCCCCTTCAAGTTTGGAAGTTCTTACAATTTCCTCCATGTTGTAGATTGTTTTTCTTTACTATCTACATATTTTTGTGCTGCGTGACATAACATAATTTATTGAGGAAGGCTTAAAACATAGAATCTCTTAAATTTTGAAATTCTATTTTTTCATTACCTTCTGAATTGTCAAGTAAAGATAGCGAGTGAACAAGTGGAATGGTTTGTCCATGGTCAGTCGGGGACCAATCTGAGCACCGCAAAGGGTTGAGGGGCTCTATTGCCACCACGAAATATAAGGTCTTGACGGGTTAAATCTCCTCGGGAGTCCTGTTACCGGACCACTGCTCACCTACATTTTACGTCTCAGCTTTGTCCATCACGGCGCGGAGGGGATGGATACCTCATCGGCAGTGCCATGGTCCTGCCTCCTGCCTCCATCTTGCAAGTTGGCAAAACATGGCGTGTTCCCCTTCAGCCTTTAAAGACAACGTAACATAAAGTGCACCGGTATAACAACTGATAAATCTATTTTTATATTTTTCTGGTACACCTAAGGGGATAAACATGTTCCTAGTAGAAGTTTTGTCCAGCTATATTTATATTTCAACCATCAACTTCGAATTTTTCAAAAATAAAATTTTACAAATATTTTTATAAGGTTATTATTATCTATCTTAGAATTTAAAACATGAGTTTAAAAAATTAGCTTGAGTAAAATTGGGATTTTTTTAATTAAATTTTTTATTTTATTTTTTAATATTGAATCGATTAAAAATTATATTTTATAATTTTTTAATTTGATTTTTAAGAAATTATCATTTTGATTGCAAATTAACATATATAATTTGATTTTTAAGGAATTATCATTTTGATTGCAAATTAACATATTTTTTTTATTTTTAATTTCATTATTTAATGATAAATTTATTAGAAATTTACTTTCATAATTTATTTTAATTTACCTTTTACATAATTATTAAGATCTCATAATTTGTATCATATATTTAACATGTTAAATACTTAAATACACATCTCTCATCTTATTATTTTTTAAAAATATTATTTAATATATTATTATATCAATATTTTTTTAAAATATAATTTAATACGTGTTATTTTATTTTTTTCACATTACCGATGGGTGGATCTTGTATGTAAAAAAAAAAAAAATTAATAAGAACTGCAGTGCAGCACGCAAATGGATCTAGTACTCCCAAAAACATATGCTTCTTGAAGAAATAGAGGAATTTTTTGAAGAATCCTGCGTAGAAAATATATGCAAATGGATAATGCTATATCGTGCGCACATAATCCATGGGAATAGTTTTTATTCCACCTCAAGAGATAAATTTGAGATCTTCAGCTGGCGTAGCAGTCTTGTTCTGTCGAGGTCTTCTTAATTTTATTCACCAAATGGATTCCCAATTGTCTTTCATCTATCATCCATGCTTCATTTTCAATCACTATAATTCCAGGAAGATTACATCATCTTTCTTCCTTTTCTCCTTTCTGTTTCATTTCTTAACTACATCTGGTTACTTGTCATTAAAAAAAACCTGCAATTGGTAATTACAGACAGCTAACACTGGTACCAGATCTGGCTATCCATCCATGGTGGCAGCTTTCTACTCATCCAAATCATGGAAGTA